ACGCGCGCAGGCACACACGCAAGCACACCGGCACACACAGGCACACACGCAAGCACACCCGCAGGCACACCGGCACGCACACACGCACTCGCGCAGGCACACACGCAGGCACACACGTATATACGCGCGGGCGGCGGCGCGTGCTTGATTGAATGCAATACAGTACAGTACACACATGCATGCTTAAATAGTAAACACTTGACAGTCCCACCGTACCATGAATTCTACCGCGCCGTGGAACCGGCTGCCGCTAGCGGCAGAAGCCTAGGCATCGCAGCGCAGCAACGCCGAGCGAGAGCGGCAAGGCGCGGGACCGACCTGGACAATCGATTTCCAGGGCGACTTCTTCTTTTGGGGTCGCCCCCGATATCATGTTTTCAGGGGCTCTTTTTGGCATTTCGGGAGCGATATCGCCTGCCGCCCCCGTGTATTTTTTCCCCTGCGTATTCTAGACTGACGGACCAAAAATAATTTTTTTTCCGATCACAGTGAAATTCGTAGTTTGATACAAACTGGTCGTAGTGGTGCAAAGGAATAGAAATTCGTATAAAATACGGATAAATCGTAGTGGTTGGCATCTCTGCACTACCGATTGCTATTTCTTTCACAGCCCACTGTGATTTTGCGTGTTGCGTAGTACGCCTGAAAAGGTCCTTAGTCAGCAGACATTAATAGAGTCAGACGGATTACAACCAACAGAAATCTTTCTAATGGCCATGTTTCGATGGGCTAGTCATGTTAACGCCCATTGCAAATCATTTCACTTGTCAGGATGGGTTAGTCGAGCTACAGGCAACTAAAATTATTTTTATTGAGAAACTTTTATCAGCCAGTGAAGGTATAGATAATCAGAAACCTGTTTAGTTGATAAGATTCTGGTGGATTAGTAAAGATTCTGTCAACTAGACATTTTATATGTGAATACTGACTGTTCATGCAAGGTACGGCCAACCGGAAACATTGTGAGAAAGGTTGTGAACACTTGAGAAACAGCACGTGAGAAACGTGAGAAACACGTGAGAAACACGTGAGAAACACGTGAGAAACATTGTGAACACTTTCTCAATTCCCGTCATAAATACTCTGCTCCGTATTGGTTCAACCAAAAACTACACTGGTCATTTCCAGTTCATGGCAACCGGGTTGACCAAAAGGAAATCACGCATGGTCAATTTGCAAACGGGCACAACATCGCCACACATACATTTACATGACATTGTTTTACATCTACATGCATGCAACTACAGCTAAGAGTACAGCAAGCGACGCCACATTAGGTTATTTGCGAATGAGGATCAATCAAGCATGACCCCGAAGATGACACGCGCCTAAACCGACTCACAGGTGACCCCACCCCTGACCTGTAAATGACTCTACCCCTAACCCACAGGTAACCCCTACCTACCACCCTACAACCGACCCATGGATGACCCAACCTGTGACCCTCGGGGTGACCTTAGATGACCCACAGGTGACCCTCGCTGACTCACAGGTGACCCTCGCTGACCCACAGGTGACCCTCGCTGACCCACAGGTGACCCTACAACTGACCCATGGATGACCCCACCTGTGAGCCTAGCCAACCCACAGGTGACCCTACAACTGACCCATGGAAGTCCCCACCTATGAGCCTAGCCAACCAACAGGTGACCCTACAACTGACCCATGGATGCCCCCACCTGTGAGCCTAGCCAACCCACAGGTGACCCTACAACTGACCCATAGATGACCCCACCTGTGAGCCTAGCCGACCCACAGGTGACCCTACAACTGACCCATGGATGAACCCACCTGTGAGCCTAGTCTGAGTGTGTGAGTGTGTTGTCACCTGTATGATGGCCTCCCTGTCCGCCGCACTGTTCGCGCTTGCCTTCGCCAACTGCTCGCCAAACTTGTGGTAGACGAGGTATTCCTCGGCTGATGGGTTCCAGCCAGCGCTCAGCTTCCAACCTAAGAGACATCACAGTATGTAATTAGCTAAACGAGCAGTCCGCACGACGAGCCCACGCACCTGATCGTAATTATTATTATTATTATTATTATTATTAAATCTTTAATGCATGTAATTCAAATACAAATACATGTACTGTTTTTTTTCCTGGAGAAAAATCGGATAGATGCAATAGTGTTGAGCAGTCAAAATAATAAGATTTCAGAGTGATACACTACAAAACATTCATTGCTATACAACATGAAGGGAAAATATATATACAAAAACAATTCTGTACAAGTAAAGTGAGTCAGTAACAACGTGAATCAGATCTTCTGGGATAGTGACAGAGCTGAGCTGAACCCAGGCACTGACGTCAAACCACCTGTGTGAGTGAGGCTCACCATACCACACTACTAAACTATGTGATTAGACACACCAAGTCAATCATCTAGGATAATTACGCAGATAGGTAAAGACAGAGCATTTTTTTGATAGGAGACTGATTTCTATATGATGACTTATATGAATATATATCTTTATAGACTACGAACTTAACTGCCAGTTGACCTGGACTGGTTTAAGGCTGTTTGCCCCACGCAGACTTAAACGGCCCTGAATCAGTTTATAGTGATTCGTGATTTAATTACGTGCGCAATAACACGTGCAGGAAACAGACTAAAGTAGACAGGTTCACCTTGAAAAAGGAAAGCCCCCAAGCAACTTGTTTGCTCTGAACATAACACCGTCAGTAACCGGCTCGAATATTAAACAGGACTGTTGACAATCGTACAAGTGCACAACTGCATTGTATACTAATGTGCCAGAATTCATTAGAATTTCTAATTGCAAAACAGATTACCAGTACACAGGCATATGCAAACAGGGTCTTTGGTCACACCTCAGGTGGATACGTGGGCAGACACTAGCTCCACTAAATCACGGCGAAAAAGGTGATCACATATAATAAAGTAAATTCCAGTTTTTCACGGCGATACAATATTGATTTAATATTAATTCCCGCACCCATTGTTGTATATAATACAGGGAGCAACACTCGATCGAAAATAAAGTCCAACACGCGTAATCCTACCTACGTACCCATAAACTTGTCCTTCACAAACTCGATGATTCCGGCTACTGTTGATGTCGGGTGAATGAGGCAGACTCCGAGGCAACGCTTCGGGTGAGCCACCCCAAACCTTGCGAGAATGTTGGCGCCCGCTCCTTCACCAAGTGCCACCTAGAGGCAGAAAGGAAACACCGCTCTGAATGCGCAACCTTCGCAGTAGATAACAGTGCAATCAATTAACAGTGCAATCAATTAACAGTGCAATCAATTAACAGTTACAAAGCCAATATAATCCATGCTGTCAACTTGTCAAGCACCACTGTTCAAACTGACCACCTCCTATAATACTGCTGAAATGTGGTGATATGTCTTCTATGAAGTGTCACTTTTTCAATCAAATATAATCCTCCGTGAAGTATCACTGCTCAATGAATCTAATATTTATATTATGAGTCCTATGAAGTACTGGTCAAACAAATGTAATCCACGCTATGTTGTATCACTGCTCTATCAAGCATAAGACATATCAAGCACTACTGATCAAATATGTCCTCTTCCACTTAAATCAACTACTACGATCAAAGGTGTATAATCTAACAAGAGTGAGACACCCGATTCCCGCATTTCTAACCGATATTTCTCATCAAAATTTACCAACAATAAAGAAGCAAGTGTATACGTTCCTTAGCTTATTATGACCACTAATCACTCACCTTCGTGGTACTGATATTCGTTTACATATATTTGCTAGCGTATTGCTGTAAATCGTAATCTTGCACGAGCTGAATTCGCACAATTTACCGCTAAAATGGCGCTATTGTGTGACGTGTTAAGACAAATTCTGAAGCCATAGTGGTGCCAATATTTAGCAACGGACTGCTTCCAAATCATTTGTGCCCCAATATGGGTTTAATGTACTTTATTACCTGCGCGTGCGTAATGTGATACTTACTGCAAACTAGTTTGAAACTACTACAGAGAATGTTGTTATTATTGTATTATTACTTATGTAAGATAGTATGTCAATTTCTTGTGTTGCGATCACAATAACTGAGCGCGTCTCGCAGTTCCTCACGAGATCAAAATTCGAAATTTGAAATTCGAAATTTGATTGTCTCTCAAAGTCTCAACCCTATGAGGGCACGAATGATTTGGAAGCAGTCCGTTGCTAAATATTGGCACCACTATAGCTTCAGAATTTGTCTTAACACGTCACACAATAGCGCCATTTTAGCGGTAAATTGTGCGAATTCAGCTCGTGCAAGATTACGATTTACAGCAATATGCTAGCAAATATATGTAAACGAATATCAGTACCACGAAGGTGAGTGATTAGTGGTCATAATAAGCTCAGGAACGTATACACTTGCTTCTTTATTGGTTAGAAATGCGGGAATCGGGTGTCTCACTCTTGTTATTATCTACTCTTGCTACGATCCACTCTATGAAGTGCTAAGTCTCAAATAAATATAATGTCATAGCTATCGACTGCTAAGTACTGTTCAAACTTGTGTCATGTTGTTTTTCAAGTAGTGTTGTATGTCGCCATGTAACAGCAATACGATACATATCACAACACTTGGGCCAGTATACGTTAGGTATCATGATACTATTACTGCTTTTACAATTGTAGTGTATTCTATCACGTCCTCAACACGCTCAAGCAAATATATAACGCCTTTTGTTAAATACCATTGGCGCTCAAAATGATAATGACTAGAACATTCTGTCAAAATTCTTCTTGGTTTGACCGAGAAGACCGGATTGCGCGACACCCATGTAAATCGCGCCAGTCTCGTACGGGTATGGGTGTATGTGAGTTCATGTGCCTGCATACAACCGGTCCCCAGATACAACGACACCGCCACCACACACACACACATGTATGGTAATGGTATATAGTACATGAAAAACTTCGCAACCGTGGCATGGCAAAACCATTTATATGGTACGCACTACGCAGTCACTGCTGCACCTGTTTACTGGATCAGTTTTGTATATAATACACCACGTTCCGTGCACATTCAGTGTTAGGTTCGGCGCCCAGGCTACTGCTTTCTGCGCCATTATCGTTGTAAGATTCCTGGCCCCGCACCATGGCTCATAGGGTCTATGTCCCCCAGGGTACTGCCGGAACGTACCCTGGGTACGGGCTAATATACCGGAACGTACCCTGGTAACTATCTGATATGGTTAGGGTTAGGGTTAGGGGGTAGGCGTAGGCAACTCCCTAGACTCGTTAGTGGAGTAGGCGAGGTACGGTCCGGCATATTAGATAGTACCACTACCAGGATACGTTCCGGTATACCGGATCGTACCCAGGGTACGTTCCGGCAGTACCCTGGGGGACATAAACCCTCTCAGCCGCACTATGATGCTGCTGAGTGTAGCACACATTCTTGCGTCCGGGCGGCTTGATTGACAAGCTGCATACATGTGATATTCAGGGACACACCGAGCTTAGAGAGTGATGTGAGGCAAACGGGTAGGACGCATGCATGACATTTAACCGCCCCCCCCCCCTGTGTTGTCATTCAATGCAAACATTGGCATATAGCGAGCGAGAGAGAGAGAGAGAGAGAGAGAGAGAGAGAGAGAGAGAGAGAGAGAGAGAGAGAGAGAAGAGA